TTGTACATGGGAAGTTACATTTATGATTCTTATAATGATTTTAATCCTCTTTGCTTATATTACATTTATATTAAAATACACATAGTTGCACACAAAAAATTTTTTTAGATTTGAAATAAAATTGATTTTAAATTTTTTTTTTCTTTAGAAGAATAATTTAGAAGAATAATTTTAAAGTTTAAAAAACATGACCGGCTTGGGTGAAAAAGTTTCAACTTCAACGATAACTCCTAATACTCCTGATTCTACTACTACACCATCATCATGGGGGTTTGTTTCCTTATTTAAAAACATATCAGATTATCGAAAGAAACTAAATTTGCCCAATCCGGGCACTTTTGAAAATCTACATCGCGAGGTTAAAGGTATGAATTATATATAATCGATCGAAGAAAAGGCGAGAGACAAAAATTTGTATATGTGTGCGTGCGTGTGTGTGTGTGTATATACATAAATTTAAGCAAAAAGCCTGTGGTTAAAATCATTGGTAATCATTAAATATGTAAAGATCGCGTCCAGGGTTTTAAAAGGATTGATTATACGCGTATTCATTGACTAAGAGCTTTTCCAAACATATGGTCTTTGTTTCTTTTAATTTTTTTACCACTGCAGCGACATTCCTTACGAATCATTTATTCGATGGTGCTAGAGTCGACCTTACTAAAGTCTTATCACAAAACATGCAAGTCACACATTCATTTTCTATGGGTTCCACGGTAACTCCTCCATTGTATAATTTTGGTGCTGCTTTTATCGGTGCGAAAGTTAGTATCAATTATTTTTAATTTTAATTATTTGATTTAATAATTTAATAATTTTTCAAATTTTCAATAAAATCTATGTGTGTATGTAATGTTAGTCATTTCTTCATGGTACAATTGATACAGATGGTAGTTTAACAGCGCGTATGAATTATGCATGGAATGCAAACAATGTGACAAGAAAACTAAATCCAGGGACAATCTTTTGTTCTATCACCGCACTTACACGACCAGTCGTATCTACCTATAATTTAGTTGAATCATATGTATGGTAGTAGCGTTAGTTGTCGATTCACCATAAAATTGTGACAAAAATTTTATTAGTGATAGCAGCAAATCGATTGTTCGAAAATAAAATTTTTTACCTGTCCTCTAAACGTTGCGGCTCTAAAATCGAATTTTCCACCCTTGAAAACAAATTCGAACAATTAGCAACGGCTTTGGATGGCTGCTGGACAAAGCGAGTGAGAGTGAGAGAGACTAACACCAGAGATGATGATCAGCTACATACTACTGTACACACAGCTTCTCTTCGACCAGCTGCTAAAATAATCTGAAGTTCAGTTCCAAAATCCACTTTTTCATTAATTTTTTGATAGTAAGAAGCCTGTAGAGCACCAACTTCCTGCCATTGGACTGTTGTGACGTAATCATTTCCGCTGTATTTTAAAACCAATGATTTCGATGTTTCTTCGATGTCGGGCGTCGGCTTCTGATATACCGTTTCAACTCCCATGGCAAGTTTTTGCGTTACAGATTGAAAATAACTCATAACAAAAATACCAGTTTGTTCCACTGGTGATGGGTTAATAGTTTTACAAT